ACATGGGGACACGTCATCCCTAGAAGTGTCCAAGGCCAGACTGGACAGGGCTTAGAGCAAACTGGTCTAGTGGATGGTGTTTCTGCTCATGGTAGCAGGGCTGGAACTAGATGATCTTTAAGGTCCCTTCCAACCCAAACCAGTCTGTGGCTCTATAACAGAATTGCAGTGTGACCCAAGAGGCAAAGCTGCTTGCTCGTATCCTGCTCCTGGAGGTGGAGGCATGTGGTTCCTCTGCCCTGCTTCCCAAGGCTTGCCTGCGCCCCTCTCCCAGTATCCTCCAGGTCTCTTTTGACCCTCTTCCTGCTCTCCCATGACTGGGCTCATCCATACACCAACAATCCCACATTGCCAAGGGTTTAAAGCAGTTCAGGCAGATGGATGGGACTCTTCATAAAGTCCTACTGCCAAGCCAACGGATTGGTGAGGATTTGGTGAGGTGCACAAAGTGGCCATTCCACATGGATTCCCCACTGTCTGAGCTAAGGAAGGATGTCGAGGATGGAACCTGACCCTGCTCTCCAGCTCATGTGACACCTTGCCAGCTTAGTTGTCATTCCTGGTCTTACCAGTCAAAGAAGTCTCCGTTGTATGTGACGATGATGGTGGGTTTGGTCTCCTGGACATGTTCAAACCACCTCTGGATTAAATGAGCCTGGGACGAAACAGAAAAGATATGTATTTTAAGGAACTTCATCTCCTCCATGGAGAGGTGGTTGATACCATACAGTTTACTCCACCCTTCCCCTCTCCTCTGCACCTAGCCCAAACCTGACCATTCTTACTTTTATTCCTCAAGACTTGAAAGCATGGCCAGCCCTACCAGACTCACTGCATTTCTCAGTGAGGCAGTCTGCCAGGGAATGAGCTCTCTTTGGCCAACAAGAACCCCAGGCAGGTAAAACTCTGCTGAGCGGAACTGACTTACCTCATCTGGTTCATTAAAGACACAAAATGGACCCTCATACTCTGGCTTGGGAGTAAACTCAAAGTCTTCAATGTCCTCTGAGACAATCTCCCTGTTTGTGATCAGGTAGCCCTGAGAAGGTGACAAGGAGGCAGTGAGGAGGACTGGGCTCACAGGCAACCCAAAAATGCTGTCCAAACAATGGGACATTTTCCTCTCAAAAACCAGAGCTGCTGTCAAGAGGGTACAATTGTTTTGGAGTCATCCGTTGGCCATCAGAAAGGGAGACCATGGAGAGGCAACATGGGACGACAGCTTTGTTTCTCTCCCTCAGAGAAACACTAGCAACCTGAGCTGGGTGTCACAAAACTCAGGATCATGTGCATCACCCAGACTTTAATTCCATTTCCAGAGCCTCACCATGCAGCTGGCAGCATGGCAAGCCTGGAGCCAGTAGGGCTGAAGGGGAATGCTGGGCTGTTGCCTGGTTTCGCTGCTGGAGCCTGAAACCACCTGAGGAAACCACCCTGCTAGCCTTACCTGCCCATCAATCATATACGAGATCATCATGATCTGGTCTGTCTCTGCGTCAGGAAACTTCAAAGGGAGTTTGGTTGTTTCAATGTCAAAGGCAAGAACAACAGGATCCTGGGCAGAACCAAATACATTAGAAAATATTCCAGAGCTGACTTGAAGTTAAAGCCCAGTGCAAGTGAACCAGAACCTCCCCTCTAATCATTTTAGTGCTTTATCAACCCAAAAATCATTACCCGAGCCCGGAAACACAGCTTTCCCCCTGCCACCATTGTGTGAAAGCAGCAGCATGTCAGAAACCGGTCCCTTGGGTGGACACACCTGGACAAAAGGACCCCTGCCCACCCACTGCTCACCGGCCGCTCCACGAGGTCGTCTCGGCGGGTGATTTCAGGGGGGTAGGTGTTGCCCCGGTATCGCACGTTGTACCAGTGAGCCTGTGGAGACAGGAGGGCAGGTAATGCCTTACTAGAGGGCCAGATCCCTGTGGCACTCTGTTCAGCTGCTGGGGACAGAACTGCAGGAATCACATGCAGCCCAGAAGAAAGGCTCAAACTGTGGCTGCGCATCAATCAATTATCTTTTCTGTGTGTCATTAACTAAGAAGAAACCCAGCAGCACAGGACTAGGCTCTACACATGGAATCATCATTACAGATACCTTCGTGAAGGTCTTGGAGAGAAAAAAACCTTTCTGTGCTTCAGGAGCAAAGCTCTTCCCTACTCACCACATGGATCTTCAGGTCGATGGAGAGGCGAATGTGGTAGGGCACGTCGTACTCTCGCATATCCACAATGTTGTCCATTTGGTTGGCAATTTTTCTAGAGGCTCCTTCCTCATCCATGCTTAGACTGCCTCCACTCAGAGCGCTGCAAGAGCAGAGGGAAGTAGCCGCCTTACTAGAGGGCCTGTCTCCCAGGGACAGCCACTGTCACTGGTGACACCAGCAGCAGGAGTCAGGGATAGGAGGGAAACAGAAAATGTTGGATTTTTTCCCTTTTAGTTATAACCAGAAATAAGGTTGCCCAGTGCCTTTCAGGATCCTTTCACAGGGAACAAGCAAACTATTTGAGGTACAGGCATAGATACCACCACATGCCATGCTATGCCATGCCATGCCATCCCAGAGGTAGCCTTCGGGATGTGCAGCATGGAGCTGGAAGATCCAACCTGGAGATGGGTGGCAGAGAGGCACAGCCAGGGTCAGACCCAGGCAGGACAACACCTCTGAGGAAAGCTCGGAAATAATCAAGGGAGTCTAATTATTAAGCGGGTGGTGAGGCCCTGGCAACGGTTGCCCAGAGAAACTGTGGCTGCCCCATCCCTGGAAGTATTTAAGACCAGTTTGGATGGGGCTTGGAGCAACCTGGGATAATGGAAGGTGTCCCTGCTCATTGCAAGTGGATTGGACTAGATGGCCTTTAAAGATCCCATTCCATGATTCTATGAATTATTAACATGAAGGACTGACTGACTGAATGACTTCCCTACAGGGAGCTCCCACCTCGACAACATGGCTGTGTAAACATCGCTCGCATGGTCCCGCTCCCTGTTTTTCCTCACTGCAGGAGAAATCTCCTTCCGCACCTTCACCAGGTCCTCCACCGTGTTGAAGGATAGCTTGATGTAGTTCCTCTTCAGGCCCACCAAGTGGTTTGGCTGCGAAGTAGTAAGAGAATGGCAGTTCAGGGAGGGGAACCATGACAAATGGGGGAAGGCCAACGAGACTGATGCAGGTGGAAGAACTGGCCAAAAAAGAGGTGCTGATGGGTGGGAGAGTAAAGCACCAAGAAGAGACTCTGGTGGTCATGTCAAGAGCAGCGGAGCAAGGGCCCAGCCAGTCCCGCTGATACAGGCATCTGAGAGTGAGATTCACCCAGGGAAGAAGGAAGAGTGGATCAGCAGGCATCCCCCTCCCACACTATCCTTCTTCCTCCAATGACTTTAATTCCTACAAGTAATGTGCTGAACACACTGTGAAACAGCTGATATGCTTCAGAAACATAATCACTGATAAGCAATTAGCCATAACAAACACATTTCTGAGACACCACAGCAGCACCAGGAGACTGAAGTCAAGCATGCTGCTTTTCTTCTTTACTCATCCCTTCCTATATCACTAGAGCTGTGCAAGGTCCAAAAAACCCCACTGATTAAGAGCACAGAGGGATACAGACCAAGTCCAAGTCCTCTTTTGGGACAGTCTCCAGCTTTGCAATCTTCCCTTGGAACTTCTTGGAGAGGAAGGAGGACACTTCCCGCTCGCAGCCCTGTCAAGAAACCCTGGGGCTGAGCAGTGTGCCTCTGTCTCTTGGGAGGAGACCATCCCAAAGCAGGCTGCCCAGGAGGTCTCGAGCTCCCCAGGACGCTGTCTTCTTCCCTGGGGACCTCATCTCTGCCAGGGTCCCCTCCTCACCTTCTGAGTGGCAATGTAGAAATAAGGCTTATAGGGTAGGGCCACCTAGAAGAGAGTAAATGGCTGATGGCGGCAGGTTCCCTACTGGGACGCTACACTCCAACCCTCCCCACCCGTGGACCCACCTTGAAACGGCTCCCGTCCTCCTGGATGAAGTAGTAATCCACCGCACTCACGGACCGCCGGTCCTCATCCAGCACCTCCGTCTGCCCACAGGCACCAAGACCCAACGAGTCCCTCCATGAGACTCGCCCGGGACGCCACTACTACGGGACCCACTCACCCTGGAGCCTCCCTCCTGGTAGGGCCAGGGAACCATGGGAGGGCCAGTATAGCCATGGAAACCCCTCCCGCCGTGTAGGGCTGGGGTCTCCTGCGGGAACCTGCTCTCCCGGTCCGACCGGGGGTCTCCCCGGGGAGACTGTCTTCTCCCCCACGCCCTATGTGGGGTATCTCCGCGGGACACCTCCCCATACCACGGGCCGTATCGGTGCCCTCCCCATGGGACCCCTGTCCCCCGGCCCTACCGGTGGTATCTCCGTGGGACCCCCATTCCTGGTACGCCTAGGGTCTCTCTGTGGGAAACCCCTCCCTATGCCCTACCGGGGCTCTTCCCACAGGACCCCCCCCATTCCCCATCTGCTGCCTGCTCGCCCCCCGCCCTGCCGGCCCGTACCGGGTGCATGTTGATGAGCCAGCCAGTCCGTTCGCCGGGCTCCGCGGGCCGCTCGAAGCCGAACAGCGCGTCCAGCCGGTCCGTGCGCTGCGCCCGCTCCAGGCGCTTGATCGCGGACAGCGCGGGGGCATCGTCCCGGCCGGACCCCGCGCCATCCGCCGGCTCCCGGGGCCCGCCCGCCCGCCGCCCCCACTGCGCTGCCGCGGGCTCGCCGCCGCTGCGGAACCCCATGGCGAGCGGCGCCAGGAAAGGGCTTCCCGCGCTGCGCCGCGATCCCGCCAGAGCGAAAGCCCCGCCCTGCGGCCAGAGCACTAATCAGAACGAGGCCCCGCCTCCTCGCGGACAAATCCCACCAATGGCGGGGGCTCCTGTCCGCGCCCCGCCCCCGTCACAACTCCGGGAGGGGGGAGCGGCGGCCGCGGCCGCTTCCGGCTGCGGGTTTCCTGGAGAACGGGAACGGGAGAGAGGTCGAGCGCACCCAGCGGCACTCCCCGTCCGGCCGCTGGAGCCGGGTCCTGCCCGGGCCGAGGACATGGCTGCTGCTTTCCCCGCTGGGGACTCAGACAGCATCGAAGGTGAGCACAGGTCCCAGAGAAACGCGCGTGGGCACGGACGTAGGACACAGAGCCAGGACTCACAGGCGCAGGACACACAGACGGCCTCCTGCAACGCGCTGCTGTCATCAGCATCCTGCACAGGAGCCTCATCACACCCCAACCCCCTCCCCTCCTCCTCTGGGCTGGCAGAGACGGGAGAGACACTCGGGGTTCACAAGCACACAGACACTCTTGGGCTCCCCAAGCACCCACGTGGGCCCAGTGTCCCCCCAGCAGCTCTGCCTGGACCCCGGCCCTCAGCCCCAGCCCACAGGCCTTGCCTCACCAGCTAGCCCAGCTGGAATTTTGCTGGTGAGTGCACAGACGCACACGCCCCCACCCATGGTTGCAAAGGATACTCTCTAACTCACCAGACACACAGGCAGTGACACAGTTCAGCTCCAACTGCACAGAGCCCTTCATTCCCTCACACCGCTCTCCTGCCCCCGGTAGCTAGTTTTAGGGACAACATTCCCACACCATGGCTGGAAGTTAAAGACCCTTCAGTCACGCCAGTGGCTGGACTGGGACCCCACTCTCTCCAGCAGGTGACCCCAAATCCCCTGGTGCGCACACAGGCCCCATCACTAGCTGGCACTGGGTCCTTGAAGCACACACCCGGGTCAGAGTGGCATGACACAAAGAAATAGTCAGTAAAACATTTAATTAGAAATATAAAAGTTCTGTGGTGACCATGGACAGGGCTTGCCCAAACTGGCCCAGGTTTATGCCCCCTGTTATATTCCTCCTCGTTCCCCTTCTCATCCCTGTGGGTCCATTCCCCCACCCCTCCCTGTGTCCGAGTCCCCCCAGTTCACACATTCAGCAGTGGCAAAGCCCAGGCTGATCCTCCTGGGCGGGCCAGCCCCAGTGGGGTTTCTGGATAGCCCATGGATTAGTGTGTCCCCTTCACTGCCTCCCTTGTCACTTGCTGGTCAGCTCTGTGTCCTTGTCTTGAAATGAGTGATTTACCACTCCACCTTGTTCTCATCCTCCTTTTAATAATGCATCCTGGTTGCACTGAAGATCCTCAGTGCAAGGAGCAGAGACACACTCATAGCCTGATTCCACAGTGTTGTGGTTTAGCGATGGTATTCCCCAATTTAGTGTTCCCACTGAAATACTCCAAACAAAGCGCCCTTTGCTCACTCCCACCCCTCCTTCACCCTCCCCCCTGCAGTGGGATGGAGAGGTGAACTGGAGGCACAAAAGGTAAAAGCTCATGGCTAGGCATAAGAAAAATGTACTGGAAATAGCAATGAAATGCTAAACAAACTGTGATAGCAGCAATATTAATAACAGAGTGTACAAGAGAGGTGAACGATTCACACGCAAGTGCTCGACGTGCAGAACTCGACATTACCCCAACTAATCACTTCATTACTGCCTGACCAGAAGGGACACCCACCTCCCTCCACCCTTTCCTCTCCCCCTGCCACCCCCCATCGTATGATGTGAGGTGGTACAGAGTAAGGCAGAGGCCTCGTCCCAACCCACAAATCCATGGAGCATGTGGTGGAGACTGTGTCACTCAGCACTCCCCAGAAGCTCCTTTGAGCTTCCAGAAGTTGCTATCTCTGCTTAGGAAAGTCTGAATTTCACCTGAGCTTGACCCAAAAAAATCTCTTTGTAGATCCTGGACACCACAGCAGACTGTCCTGCCCTGACTGGCGTGTCCAGCAGCAGGAGATTGGGATCAATGAAAGCATTCTCATGGTCTGAAAAGGAACTGACTTTGTGGCGGTGAAGAATGGAATTTAAAAATATCCTGCTGCCTTTCTTCTGAATGTGGAGTGGCTGCTGTTGAGTCAGACTTTCCCTGAAGATGCAGGAACCTGTTTCTCTTATCTTTGCCATTTTTCATGGTTCTGCCACCTGGCTGCTGTGGGGGTCAGGTTACTTGTTTGCTCCTTGAGTGAATGTTCGTCATTTTGGGTATACTAGGCTGGAGGGAAACGAGGGCAAGTTTTGATGATGGGTTCGCCTCGACGTCTGTGTCTTACTGTGGCTTGTGCATGAGAACAAGCCTTTGTAGGCAGCTCTGTAGCAGCAGACGCTCCCTCAGGGGAGCAAACAGGTCTGAGGCATCAGCCCTGGATTGCAAACCAAGGTCTTTTGTTCCAGCAGCTTCTCACCAGATGTGACAGTGGTTGTCCATGGCTGGCATCTGAATCAGCCAAGCAGGGCAGGGCTGAGACTGGGTGATTCAGAGGGCTTATTGCTGCTATGCACTGTGGATTTGGCATTGAAAGGTCGGGATTTAGGTGCTGGTAAACGTGACTGCCCTTCAGTAGCAGAGGAAATCACAGAATCCCAGAATGGTTTGGCTTGGAAGGGACCTTAAATATCAATTCATTCTACCCTCCTGCCGTGGGCAGGGACACCTTCCACTATCCCAGTGCTGCTGTAGGCACAAACTACCCTGCAGCTCTGTTGGGTTTATGGGGAAGGGAGGACTGCCAGCCATTCATCCCTCTGGGTCCCTGCCCAGTCACCCCACTGTAGACAGAACTGCATCTCCCACTGTTCCCAGGGCAGCACAGCCCCACAGTGCTGCTGGTGTCTCATTGTCCCCCTGTAGTGAGGTGCTCGGCCCCACAAGGTACACTTATAGTGCCAGCTGAGCATAGAGTCACAGGCTGGTTTGGCTTGGAAGGGACCTTAAAGCTCATCTGTTCCACTCCCCTGCCATGGGCAGGGACACCCTCCACTAGACCAGGTTGCTCCAAGCCCTGTGCAACCTGGCCTTGAACACTTCTAGGAATGGGGCAGCCACAGCTTCTCTGGGCAAGCTGTGCCAGGGCCTCACCAGCCAAGAATTTCTTGCCAGTATCCAATCTAAATCTATCCTTCTTCAGCTTAGAGCATGGCCACCCGTGGCTTGCTGTCATGATAATTCCCTGCAAAGCCATTTACTGTCTCCTTCCAAGGCTCAATCCTTGCTGTTTGCTTGGCAGCTGCATAGGAGCAGTTTTCCACACCACAGGTCAAAAGTCCTGTGTGCTATGTAGGGAAATAGAGGTGATGGGTCTGTTAGGGGTCCCTGCACCCTGTGGGATGAGCTCTGCACCATGTCCCAGCCAGATGCAGCACCACATGCAGGGTTCCTCCTGCTCAGTGGCCTGCAGACAGCGGACCTGGGATCATTTCTCCTGCCTTAAAATTGAGGCAGCTCCATGAGGACCCACAGTTCTTCTCCCAAGGCTGTGGAGGGATGTGGCTCCCTGGAGCTTCCATGCTGGAACGCTCCATCCATGGGTAGTTTTTTTTAACAGCAGTGAGAACTGCAGCTGAACAGCCCAGTTAAGCCTCTTGTTCCTGCTCCCATTTGGAGCAGGGAACTGAAGTTGGACACTGAAGAGCAGTGAACTGCCCCTGAAAAACCTCAGGGAGTTGTATATATAATCAGGGTGTAAGACAGCAGCGATCTGAGACAAATTATCTGGTGGAGAAAAAAAATTCCTCTGTACCCAGTGCGGTCTCAAAAGTCACTGAGTGAAAATAAAGGACAGATTTGGGGCATGTGAGACGAAAAGGCACAGGGAGATGCTGACGCTGCCAGACATGATGGGCAGGGAAAGAGTTTTCTGGGAGAACAGAAACGTGCCAGGGGGAGAGTGGGGGCGTAGATCTCCGAGGGGGGAGCAGAGACGTGTGAAGCCATAAGGAAAATGTAAACCAAGTGACACCTGGGAAGGGCTGGGACGGGGTATTTCAGGAGGGCAGGAATAGCCCCGGCAGCGGCGACCCCGCGGGACCCAGCAGGAACTGTCCCGGAGTGCCTGAGGCCAGCGGGCACCCCGCGCCACGCGCGTCCCGGGAACGGGCAGGGCCGGCGGGGACCTCCCGCTCCGCTCCCGCGGCAGGGGCGTGTCTCCCCCCGCCCCGCCCCGCCACCGGCCGCGCTCCGCCCGCCGCGCCGGCACAGCGGCGGCTGCCCAGGTAAGAGCGGGGGTGGCGGAGACCCGTTCCAGGGAAGATGTGAAGGGAGTGGGGTTCCCGGTGCAAGACCGCTGCCCAGGACGTCACTGCATCTCCGGCCGGAGGGAGTGGGCAATAGGGGCCGCCGCTGCTCCCTCAGGAGCGGGGGTACCGGGGGTACCGAGGAGCGCGGCGGGCCCGGGGGCTCCTCTGCAGCCGGAGCTGCCGGCGGAGCCGGGGGGAGGCGGTGCGGAAACGTCGCGTGTCCGCAACTTTCCTGAGATGCAGCAACTGCCCAGAAAGTCAAAGCAGTGAAAAAAATGGGTCGCGGGGGAAAACCGGGTTTGGGTCCCTGTGTTGCGTGTCGTGTCCCTCCGCCAGTGTGCTCTCCAAGTTTGTTTGTCCCTGTTTCAGGGAACAGTGATCCCACCCGGACAAAGGGGAATGGTTTTAAACCGAAGGAGGGTAGATTAGATATTAGGAAAATATTCTCCCCTGTGAGGGTCGTCAGGCACTGGCACAAGTTGTCTAGAGAAGCTATGGCTGCCCCGTCCCTGGAAGTGTTCAAGGCCAAGTTGCATGGGGCTTGGAGCAACCTGGTCTAGTGGAAGGTGTCCCTGCCCATGGCAGGGGAGTGGAATGAGATGAGCTTTAAGGTCCCTTCTAAACCAAGCCATTCCATGATCTTTGTGTCCCTGTCCAGCAGGACATTCTATGATTCTATGAACTGCAAGATCTCCTTTGAGAGGGGACATCCACCTCTGATTGTGGTGGATGGAAGCTGGAATGTGGTGTTCTGCTGTAGCTGTTAGTCTCGGAAAACAAACTTCTGCCCTGCTCCAGCTCCTGTGGGGAACACAGATTGCTCTTGTGCAAGGGGGACCTGGCAGGGACAGCACGGCAGGGACTCGGCTGCCTGTAGTGCAGTAATTGAGAATTAAAACTCTGTCGTGTTGTGAAATGATTTTTGCATCGTGCACTCTGCGCCTGGGGAGAATTTCCAGCATTTGTGCTATTTATTAGCAAAGCTTTGCGATCTGAACCAAATCTCATGATTA